ATATTAATCTTTAAGAAGTACTTTATACTCTTTAGGTTATTTAGGCTCTCTTTAATTAGTAGTAGTAGGTATTAGTCCTTTACTAAGATATTATTTAAGCCGCGGTAATCCACACAGAAACGAAGGCCTTTATTAGGCTTCTTAATAAATAGAATAGAGAACGCTGCGGGGGAGGAGCTTAGGCAGATAAACCCCTTATGTAGGTTCTCTTTAAGCTACTCTTATAGGGCTATAAGCTCCTCGCGAGATATTAGGTATAGTAGTCTAAATAGAGAGGATTTACCTTCTAGTAGGTAGATATTATAGTTATGTGCGCAGTATAGAGAGAGTCTCTCAGCTTTCTTAGGTAAAAATACGTCTATAAACTCCTAGAGTTCTCTAGAGAGATAGGCTTTTAAGTCTATAAATTTAGATAGATTAGAGAGGTTAGTACTAGCCAGGAGCTTATTAATCTACTTAATTAATACTTTAAAGATCTAGTATTTTCTTTAGGCGTACGCCGCGCAGGCCTGTAAGGACACCTTTACGATATCTAGGTAATAAAGCTTCTCTAGTTAGTCTAGTATAGAGGCTAGGCGTGCCTTCTTAGGTATATTATATAGGGTAGAAATCTAGGTAGAGCGCTTAGAGAGGTTGTAGTATTTTTAATAGTACTCGCTATTAAAGGCGAAAGTATAGCTCGCGAATCCCACTTAAGGATTATAGAGCTTTATCTAGAGTATTCTTAGGATAACGGGATAGTGCGCTAACTACGTAGTAAATAGGTAGATAGTCTCTTAGTAGTTACCTACCTCTATAGTAGTTTTTAGGTAATAGGTAATAGAACTAGTCTTAGCCTCCTAGCTATTAAACACCTTTAGTTAAATCAGCCTTCTCAGTTCTTATAGAGGCAGTCCCTAGCCTCTAGCCTAGTTTAGATCCATAAAGCCCTTTCCTTCGGCCCTAGTGTCTATTATAGCGTAGGTAGGTATCGTCTCTTCTCCCACTCTTAAGGTAACAGGCAGTATCATTAGGTTAGACCTTAGCTTACTTTCCTCGTATACTAAGAGTCCCTTAGCGGACGCGGCAGAGATACGGACTAGGCGGCGTCGATCCTAGTTACGTAATAAGAGAGTCTAGACGCGACTTAGTTTAGGCTTACTCTATTTACTAACTAGTTAGAGCTACTCTAGGGGCTAGTACAGCGGTAGTTAGAGGGCGAGTAGAGAGGGGTAGCTTAACGGCCGCGGGGGGGGGTCAGAGCTTGGCGGCGTGTAGGACTAGCGGTATATTCTATATTACTAGAGCGGATCTATATTACTAGGCGGTTATTAGAATGTAGGCAGTCTCTAACCTAGTGCTACGATAATCTGCAACGGAAGCACTTATTTCTCTCTTATCTACTCCTAGTAGCAAAGTTCCTCTAAGAGCTTAGGTCTATTAGGTCTACTAGAGCTATAGTAGAGAGGGGGATAGAGTGGGGTGTAGACGGGCGGCTAATAGGTTCTCTAATAGTATACCTAGAGTTCCTAGTAGACAGTATCGCACGGGAATAGCTAACCTATTACTAATACTAGTAGTAATAGTTATTAAGCGCCTAAAGGTAGTTAACGTAGAACGTATATTTAGTAGATAGAGCGGGGCTATAGAGGAGTATATCTTAGAGTTCGCGAGAGATCCCTTAGAATAATAGAGAGACTAGTACGCTCTCTAGCATTTCTACTTCTAAGGCTAAACGTTAGAACTCTAATAGGTAGGCAGTAAAGTCTAGGTTCTTCTACTTCTATTAGAAAAGATAGTTCTAGGCATTCTAGGTGCGGTCGAGGTCGCCAAATACTCTTTCTAAGTACTCTAGTATCTATAAGTAATCAACAAACTAGAGAATTCTATATTAAATCTTTAGTAGCATTAATATATACGCCTTTCTAGTAAGTCGTCCTACTATATATAGTATACGTCTAGTAGCTTATAGAAATTAGTCCGCGTTCGCGTTTATTTTACCGTAGATCTACTAGATAAACTAGTATAAGTCGCTTCAAGTTCTATCAAATTCCTTTAGGTTAGGTATTCTCTCACTAAGGCTAGGAGTTTAGGAACTTAGAGGAGTAGTAGGCGTAGGCGGTCCCGCTAGGTCGTCTACGGTGGCCTTAGTAATAGCAGCAGAGGTAGAGGAGAACAAAGTAATAGCGGGGGTCGTTAGTACCGCAGGTATAGCCGCTATAGCGAGCTAGGTCTTTTTAATCTTAAGTTAGGTAATCTATTTCTAGTTAGCTACTAACTACTCCTTCTAGTATTAGATAACGGCCTCTCTCTTCTTAACCTAGATTTGTAGGGACTGTTCGTGGTCTTAGGACGCGATAAAGTTTTCCTTAAGTTTCTAGGAATACTAAGTAGTATTACGAAGGTATATTAACTACTCTTTAGGATGCGCTGCTACGCTAGCAGCGAGCTTCTTAGGCGTCTTAGAGAAGTAGGGTAGCTTAGGGCGGTTTATAGCGATATAATACGCGTGCCTATAAGGAGGAGCTACGTAATATCACAGTTTGGGCTTACAGGTAGAAAGGATAGGCACGTGTACAGGGTATATTGCTATAGCTAATTAATAGGCTCTCGCTATAGGTAGTAAGAGTAGAAGATAGGACGTAGCTTAAAGAGCTCTCTAGACTATAGTGCTGCAGTTTTATAGAATCTAGGTGCTTAGGCCCGCACCCGGAATCTACCGGCAGCCAATTAGAAGAATGCGCGCCAGCTGCCTCGCTGGCGCTGTGGCCCTAACGGCCACCCGGGGGATTCCAGCCTCGCTGGGCACCTGGAAGCTGCCGGTCCGCTGCTATGTCAGATAGCGCCGTGACATAGATAGTATAATAAGACTAGGTATAATACGCGAACGTATAAGTAGGTAGTAAAAGTAGACTTAGAATAATATCTTATATTTTTTTATACTATATAGGTCTAAAGTAGGCTATTTTAGGCTATAATATAGTGGTTTTAGTAGGGTCTTAGTAAAACTATAACACGAACCTGGGTGTAACACGAACCCATAAGGTACGTTAGCTATTATAATAATATTTATTAGTTATATAAGACGCTTTTTTTTAGCTAATATAATTTAGATAGTTTCCTAGGAAATACTTAGAAATATACTTAAAATCTATTAGACACTACGTAGCTAAGCTATATAAGTATTACGCTCTAGCTTATCACTATAGCTAATAGGCTCCCCTAAGTATCCTACTCTTCATTCGGGCTAGGTGTTACTGTCAAAGATACAATCTTAAGTGTGTTTGCTGCGATAGACTGCCCGGCGTAGTTGCATCGAACTCCAGCGGTTAGCTGATGGGAACCTAGCTGGAGGTATTGTGATCCTGGCCAAAGAGTCCATGCATTGGTCTGATAAGTATATCTCAAGGCAGAACCTATTTCCTCCCCGCTGGCCGCAACAGTGAAGCCAATCCTCTGATCTACAATTGATAAACGTATGCCTTATATCGATATTGGGGTATAAAGGCTGCCTTTTACAGAAGGATTTGGAAAAGATTTGTGTGCGACCATCACAGACGAGTCATTGGCTACAGGTGGCATCCCAATGGAGGAGTTGAACAGTATATCCAATACACTTTGCAGGCTCACTTACGTGCTTCGGAGGAATATATGTGGTTGATCACATGTAGGCTTGGCTGAACTCAAATGCGTATGAAGTCTGAGCTGAAATTCCCATATGTAGGTCAAACCATCTGCAGGTCGAAACACCTGCAGATCGAGCCAGAATGCATATTCAGGCTCATCTAGGCTGAGATTTGCGTGAAGCTCTAGCTAAAATGCATGTATGTTGATCGGTCTCCATGGAGAGCACTATCTTTGCACCCAGCCATATGCCTATTAATGCAGTAGTATCACTTTAGTAGGGGCAGCCTCAATTGCGTACCTCCTGCATGTCCCTAAATATTCTTTGCAATACTTAACTAACACGACGTAAAACCATCCATGTATCCTATTTAATATTATATGGGCTGTTTAGAAGGCTGAAAGTACAGGGTATTATCTTGGTGGTCTTTTCGCAATCGGTGTCGCTTATTCTGAACGCGTATATTAGGCTAGGAACTAGAGGTTAGTGCGTAGCACGTTGATTTTATGGAGTCCCTGAGGCGATGGCACGCTAACGGGATCCCTGCATAGTACAAGGAGTTGGTTTTATTGTTATTTGCTATTCCGTAGAACAGCCACCTACTTAATGAACTGCCTAAGGCGGACAATCCAAGGCTCATCACTGCTCAAAAAAATCTCTTGATGATGGCTTTTCGTCAGTGATAGGCGAAGCCATGTTAGACTCGGTCGGGAATGTGATAATCTTGTTGAGCAGCTGGGGTCGCCCATCGACAAAGTCCAGCGTGATCTCTGTAAACCATGAGCTCTGCGCACCGTACGGGTACTCTAGCGGCTCCACGGTAAGACTCTTCCGGTCAAACGCCTGCCGTCTGATCAAGGGCTGGGACTTGAGCTGGAACCAGATCAGGGCGGTATCAGTGGGCTGTATGGAGCCCGTGGTTGGAACAGGGAAAGTATGTGCTCCACTGCTCGCCATGAATACGGGAGTCACGTTGTCCTCTTCCTTGTCTCTGTGGAGATCGGGGCCTCGATCCAAGACGATGGAGCACCCTGGGCTCGTGGCTGTGAAGGCAAATGCGTTCGGTGGGTTCTCGGGCGGCTGCTTTGCGCTGATCGATACCTTGTCGAACGAGTCGAATACGAAGGTCTCTCCAGGCTGGATTGGCAACGAATCGGTCGCCGAGTCGACGAAGACTAGACGTGGATGTCAGCTGCGCAGACATCCGCGGCGGGGCAGCGTAGTCCATACAATTTGGCATGCACCCCGTTTCACTTGCAGACACTCGGTACGTCTCGCTCCAACGAATGGTCATCTCGGGACGGATGTCTCTGAGGTGATTAGTCCCGATCGGTGCGCGGGAAGGTTCGATCTCACCATTAGACCATCCCACAATATTGTATGTCTTCTTGCCCACGTGCTCATATTGGAACCCCCAAGCACAACATATGCTGTACTCCTCGTTCAATGCAACTGCGAGGCGCTTGTTGATCTTGATCTTAATGCTGCGCCTCGTGAGGCGGTTCTTAGAGTCCATACTTGGCCGGGCACCTATCCAGTGTGCAGTTCTGCGTTCCGTGGTTTCGAGAGGAATGTTTATGTGACGATCGCGTGGAGCGTCGAGGGACTGGAGATGGCTCAGCCAGCCATTGACAGAATCTGCAATCTCGTGATTTTAAGCGATTCATATCAATTCTAGACTTGTAAACCCCTCAGTGAAGACTGCCCGCATGGATAGCATGTGCATGGTTGCGGACTAGTGGGCGAAGGGGCGTCCAGTTGCCGTGACGGGCCGTAGCTATATGTGGGGCGATGTTGCTACTACTATTGGAACGCTGCATCTGCGTTGTGGCTGCCGTTTTCGAACTGAAAGCTTGAGAGAGCGAAGCGACGCACGGCATTCCCGAGCCCACGCGGTATAAGTTCAGTGAAGAAGTGCTCTATGACCAAAGACACATTGCGAGCTCTTCCCATCAGCACTCGATCGCTTCTTCTTCCACAATTGCGCGCCACCTCATCGTAACCATCACCATGGGCTACTACACCATCAACCTTTCCTTCAAGAAGGAGCAGGTTCGAGATCTCAATACTGAAGGCTCCAAGCTCTGCTTCACCAGCGGCATGGGCTCCGACTCCAAGTTCAACGTCATCGCATGGAGCGATAGTGAGTCCCTCGTCCATAACTCCTACCTCCACATCCACTGACATATCTCCAGCGATTGCGTCGACAGTGCATATTACCTGGAGGGAGGATTACCAGGTTGCCGCGACTAAGGATCATTTTTCAGCAGGGGGTATATAACATCAACCGTAGCCAGACCAAGCACTGACACCAAAGCCAGTCAAGTTCCATGTCAGCACCAACCCCGCAGACATTAAGTTCAAGGAAGTCTACACTCTGCCGCCCGACTGGACCGACGGCACCATCAGCCAGGACTCCAGCCTGAGCGACACCTCGTTCCAGTTCGTCAACCAGACAGACAAGAGGGCCTCCGCCGTCATCTACAAGCTCATCCAGGGGAAGCCCACCCCTTTCTACATCAGCCAGTCTCCCGTCTTCTCCCAGGGCAATGAGGTCTTGACCCCCAAGCTCAAAGTCGCGCTGTGGTTCGATAAGAACGTCGAAACGGGCACCATGGTCTCCCATATCAGCTCGAAAATTACCGCTATTGACTTCACCAACCAGCAGACCTGGAATGGCCATTGGGATGGGATCTCGTTCGTAGTTGACCCGTGAATAGCGCCTGGATCATGCAGACTTGTGTGCATGTGGTCGACGTGCTGGGCAGCTCATACGTACACGCAACAGTTAAACTGTCTCATTTGCTCGTATATATCGATGGCAGTCTAGCTATCACTCTATCTCTCCTGTGATAGCAGCGTGGTTCCGCGCACGATGAAACAGTTCCCTTGACACCTCCTTCCGCACATGCTCACCCCCTAAGCACCTTGTCCACAATCCCTCTAGCCAGCCTTGCTACTGTTATCCCCTCTCACCAACTCCACAAAGCTAACATGCACCCCAAATGTCCTAAATAGCCAATTTCTTAGCTCCGCAGAGAGATGATGCTATCGATGCCATAACTCGCCATGTCCCTGCCCACACCCACATCCTCGATTGCAATAAAGAGCAGCTTTGCAAGCCTCTCTGTGACGACCTCCCCCCGCTAATCCACGCAGTTCCTGCACGTTTTTGGGCGTGCAGCGGCCGAGCCTTGGTATGATCTGCGCACGCCACAGTCATCCAGAACAAGCCAGCTGTCAAACACGCCCCGCCAGGAGTCGAAATGGTGCATTGCGAGTCAGAACATCCGTGATGGAGCTACGCGAGCGACTCGTCTTTCATATTTCGTGAAGGGCTCGCTACCCAAGGGTGGGGGAGAGGGGCGGCAGGCTGCAGCAAAACGCAGAGGACCAGGTAGCAGCGAGAAGGCTTCCTGCTCACTGTGGTGCAACACATAGATGATTGATGATGGCTTGTAATGATGTATATCTGGATAGGGGGGCGGCGGTCAAGGATTCTTTCAAGTCAACTCACTCAATGCTCAAGCCCATCTCTTCCCCTAACCCAGAGTTGCCTCGCACAGCTGTAGCGTTTGGTTCGGACCGGCCCTTCGCGTCTTGCAGGTTGCTGCATTAGCTTGGATGTTGCCGCTGTCCAACGCACACGTTGGCAGCGGTCGCACTAGCTAGTTGCGTTCCACCCTGCATGACCCGCCCCCGCAGTGCTAGTTTGCACTCTCCTTGGCCTCCTCCAACCCTGGGGCTGGTCTCCCAAGGTCTATAGTGACCCACCTCAGCCAGCCCCCAACTCCCCCCCAGCCTCCATCGAGCAGCCACATCCCAATCCGAATCCACACTCGCTAGTCGGGGCGGGCCGACAATGTTGGATTTGGAGTACTTAACAGGGAGGGGACGGAAGTGGGTTCTGTTCCAGGTTTGGCTTTTCCTTCCCCTCGTCCAACGGCACGCCCGCCTGCTCAGCTGGAGATATCCTTCTAATGCGGTGTACAGGCCCTTCTCGAACCGCGCCCTCTCGTCCACCGGCCTCATCGCCAGCGGTATGAACAACCGCCTGTTCGGGGCTTCCGGATCTGGCTCATCTCCTGGCTTTCCCGGTAGAAGCTTGCTTGCTAGCTCATCCATGTACGGTTGCAGCCATGCCCAGTCGCCGCTCTGCAGCGTTAAGATGCCCGCCGGCGCCGTATTCACGAGCTGCGTCTTGGTGAGGTTGTAATTCTCGCTGCCAAGCCGCTTGTCGACCATGTACTCCGGCACGTTCTCTGTCACGAGCACCGGCCCAATATGGAACAAGGCCGTCATCTTGTGCATCGCCTGCTGCCAGGTCCATGGCGGGAGGGTCAAAGATGTGATGGGAAGCAGCGAGCTGTACAGGTGGAGCGCCAGGAACGGGTCGATGAGGGTCGCGTACGCCTGCAAGTGTGAGTTGCGCCGGTACGTGTGCGTTTGAACATACGCCTCGTCCCAAGTGGGAGACTTGCGAGACTGTTGCGTGGCTTGGACACTGTCGCGTGTCTCCCAGAAAGCCGTTAACCTGGATGAGGCTCTGACACTATAGGTTTGCGGTGCTATGAAAATGGTCATGACAAACTTCAATCATGAGAGACTGATGATATATATTGGTGTGACCAGACAGGCACGAGTTGCTTTGTCCTCGGCTTTCAAATACGTAACGCAGAGGAAAGCCTTCAAAAAAACCCTGATTGAACAGCCAGTAGTACGCAATCGACTTGCGAGATGTGCGAGAAAGCTAGAGGCCCATTCGGCATGGTTGGATCAGCTAATATTTCAGCGTGACCATTTGTCGAAGAGTGATGCAGATCGCGAGCTCGGCGGACTGACTGCACTCGCAAAAGCGAGGTCTGGAACGATACTCGACGATTGTGCGAGATGCGTTGTTTTGTTATTTGGTGGCAATGGAATTACTGTTTCTGGCCAAGGGGAGTTGGTGGAGAAGCTCTCCAGGGAGGCACCATGCGCTCGAATTCCGGGTGGCAGTGAAGATGTCATGCTGGACTTGGCTATACGGCAGATCCACAAGAACTTTGAGCATCGGAAACGCATCCAAGGGCAAAATCCAAAACTGTGACATATTGCGGAAGACAAGGGCGTGAGTATAGCGCGCTTTTATGTATCATAAATTTAATCTCGATCTCTCTATGACAATATATACATCAATATTAAGCTATTTTCCGGCGGCACGTGACGGCATGGGAATTCGTCGATCAGTTGAACAGAAACAGTGGTGGCTTCTGAAACTCGGGTAGAATAGATTTCGGGTTTCTGAAGTTTGCCTCAGTCATTCATCATACCTCTCTAGGAATGGTCGATCTCTTGCTGCAGATGTCTTGTTATGTCATAGACAAGGAAATTACGAGGAGATCCAAATAGCCGAGGAATATTTTTCGGCCCAGGGAAATCCTCCCAAGAATACGACACAGGTGTAATTGGAAGGCCAAACTATTTAGTCCAACTGAGGAAAGCAATTGGATCCCCGTTGTTCATTTGGTGAAATCATTTACTACAAGAAATTACGCCGACAGCATGGAGACTGATTATTACCCATGTCCGACACAAGATCTCCTAACATGGGCGTTTGATCATGACAGATATGATGAAAACAAGCCAGTTATGTATAGCCTCGAAGATAGGAACTGCAGTCTTACGCGAAAGCAAGCAAAGACGTTCATCCGGAAGCTCATTGCAGGTCTACGTAAAGCTGGCCATAAATCTGGCGATTGCGTGTGCATTGCAGCCTTCAACGACGTGAGTGTTGGGAATTCACCTAAGGATTGTCCAATCCTGGATCATCATCAGTGGCAATACTGATATAATTCTTAGATCCATCTGTCCACGATATTCAATGCGATCGTTGGTGCTGGAGGAGTGTTTGCAGGCACAAATCCCAGCTACAAACACAACGAACTCGTCCATCACCTCAAGACCTCAGAAGCTAAATTTCTTAATGTCGAGCCAGCATTTTTGGAGTCCATCAGTCGAGCCTCACAAGAAGTAGGCACACCAAGTGACCATACCTTTGGTCTAAATCTTTTTGGTGAATCTATTCCCACGGGCTATCGTTCGTGGACATGGCTTTTGGAACACGGAGAGCAAGATTGGGAACGATTTGATGATTTACAGACCGCAAAAAGTACCCCCATCGCCAGACTTTTTACCAGTGGAACCACTGGCCTACCAAAAGCTTCGGTCATGACTCATTACAATGCGACATCTCACCACACATTAACCCGGGAAAGGAAACCTTTACCGTTTGAGGTATGTCCACGCTATTTGTTCGATATTTGATAACTGATGGAAGGCTGATATTGCTGTAGTCTCGCAATATCTTTGCGCTGCAGATGTTCCATGTCTCTACGATACCTGTAGTCCATTGCTCGCCGTGGAGAGTGGGACATAGCGCATACATCATGCGACATTTTCAAATGGAGCCCTATCTAAAGGCTGTAGAGGAGCTCAAGATCAATGAAACGGCACTGGTTCCTCCCCATGTGATTTCGATCCTTTCGTCCCCTCTTCTCAAGAAGGATACTCTGCGCTCTGTTAGACGAGTTACCGGAGGCGCTGCTCCATTGGATGCTGGCATTCAGCGAAAATTCAAAGCGCTGTGCGCACCTGGTGCAACATGTACTCAGATTTGGGGAATGACAGAGACATCTGGTTCAGCGACCTTATTTTACTACCCCGAAGAAGATGACACAGGGCGCATTGGACGTTTCATACCAAACGTTGAACATAAGTAAGACCAGAATCAACCTGAATAATTATCGACCATAAATAAGACACCGCTATAGGCTTATTGACGATGACGGCCGTACGATCAATCAATACGATGTGCGGGGAGAGCTATGCGTTCAAGGGCCGACAGTGACCCCTGGGTATCATAAAGACGCGAAAGCCAACGCCGCAGCTTTTGATGAGGATGGATTCTTTAAGACAGGGGACTTTGTGTATTGTGACAGTAAGACCAAGTTATGGTACATCGTAGATCGAAAGAAGGTCAGCATATCCGATTCACTACCCTGTCTAGTACACTATTGCTTACCAAATGCAAGGAATTGATCAAAGTGCGTAGATTTCAGGTGTCACCGCCAGAGATTGAAGGAACACTCTTGAGCCACCCTGACATTATTGACGTCGCTGTAATTGGAGTGCGCTATCCGCCCAAGGATGATGAGTATCCACGCGCATATGTTGTTGTGCGGCAGGGATCAAGACTAGATGCCGATGCAGTCAAGCGTTACGTTAGTGAGCGACTTGCAAATTACAAGGAATTGACGGGTGGTGTCAGGTTCATCGATCAGATTCCCAAGAATGCTTCAGGGAAGAGACTGAAAAAGCTTTTGAAGGAATCTGCACAGAAAGAGATATCAGGGTGGCCCCAAGCACGCCTTTGATATTACGAGAATGGCAAGCTACTATGACTACTTCTTATAGAGATTGGAGAGAGCACTGCTACTTTGGACTTGGCTCAAAACGATCAAAGTATACGAAAATCTTATAAAGGTCTACTTTTTCCAAAAGTGCTATTCAAAGAACGTATCCCCTGCGTTGCAATGACCCAGCATCATGTCATCAAGCAAGGAGCGAGGAATTATATTTTAGCAGTACGAAAAAGGGTGACTTACCGTGATTTCTCAAGATGATCTTGCTATAGTAGTTCATTCGTTACGAGCAGGTCTTAGCCCGGCTTCGAGTAATAGATGGGCTAAATTGCCCCACCCTAGAATTTGGCGGTTATTGCTACATGCAACCTGGGTTTAAGTAGTAGATGGTTATGAAGACGTGAGAGAAAAGGCCCGCTGCACAGATATACTTCGGTATTCCGCATACGATCTTTAAAGGAACTAAGATAGCTGCATAAAAGGTGCCCCTGATATAGTAACGTAAATTCGTAATGACGCCAATACCACGTACTATGTAGTGATGAATATCAAACAAATCAGTAATTCTAAATTTAGTAAGGCTTTTAGTAGTTGTAAAGATTCCATAGCGCGAGCCGTGCTAGCTTTTGCTATAATCTAGGCTGATGTTGGATGCGGTTTTTGTCCCGATATTTTAAGTTCCCCAAGAGCACGACGACAACCAAGCATACAAGGGGCTTTATTAGACATGGCAGATATATTTTGCAGCTGACTCGGAATGGATATACCCTGATTCAAATCTATTGGTGTTTTGCAATTACAGAAAGATAGTCTTTTCCCATTTCCTCTCTTCCATTATAATGCTTTTCTTTCGGCCCAGTCTACAGCGGAAAAGTGGCAGCAGTGCATGCTTAGAAGATGCTCCGAATAGTCCTATCTTGGACACATGCGTTTGTATATTAAGAAATTGACTGACCCGACATTTGTCACTTTGACAGAGACTCCTGCAAGTTCCGTCTTGGGTAGCAGACAGCAGTAAACACAATGTTGTCAATAGTGAACTGTGTTCAAGCACTACGCGTGTAGCGGCCCGCAGGCATGGCGGCTGTTCTGGACACAAACGAGCAATGGTTATTCAGTCTCGTGTGTTTTTGCATGTACATACTGACTACCTTGAAGAATGATGGAGCCCATGTACCTGAAGCTTTAATTTCGTGATAAGCCAAAGCAGCGACAAGGAAACTTAGGCAGAGTTTTGACACTGTTCGCCGCTGATCAGCCCGGGACTCGTAGGTGATTCGTGTTAAGGTGAAGTTTGCGGAGCGAACTTCATCGGTGGTTGGGCGCAGCCACTCAACATTTTAGCTATATGCCCCCTCTCCCATACTGTCGCAGTTGGTGAATGAATCCATTATCCTATAATGCAATGTCGTCATCTGTTTGTACGTAGGGCAGGTCGGCATTTCGTATATAGCATTCATTCGGCACACGCCGATCAGTATCCCCTACTCTTTACTTCGGGCTGCCATTCTGACGTGGAGGATGCCGAAACGCCGAAGGTGCGTGCACAAGGCTCGCCGTGGCTTGTTTCGCTTGTGGTGCGTAAGGTGCTCGGTCGTTTTGGTGCGGGATTGCGGATGATAGTCGGTGGCATGGCAGCGACGTCGGCGACGTGAGGGCTGTCTAGTACGTGGTAAGGCAAATGCGGACCCACGACACAGACATTGTACGAGGCAGCCCACTGTAAACTCGCCGTCCAACCTAAGTCCGTATTCGCATCAAATTGTCTTGGAATTGGGAGATAGCATTCAGGGTCTACGCTAGACAGCTTGTAAGTTTCTACTGCCGAGTGCTACCGGTCCGCTCTAAGGAGGCGGTTCATTATCGCAAAAGCCACATGCCGGTTTATTCCCCATTCGGCGAGATGTAGTCGGCGACTACAAGAACAGTGGCCTATTGCGATGAGCACACAGAGCGTCAGAAATGTAAGATGAGCATGTACATACAAGTAGCGCATTCCTCTCGGCTTTGTTCTCCTGAGTTTATCTTGCCGAAATTCCAGATTGCAAGGAGACAGCAACGAGAGTGAACGCCAAGCCAAGGAAGCGTGGATGCGAAAGACGAATAGGACATGTTCACGCCGGTCGAGACGACTGTTGGAGCATTGCTGCTACATCAGGCAACCAGCAATCTTCTATACCAGAATGGGAACATATTGGGACTGAGCGGGTACCTGCGCCAGCTTCTTTCGGCGCCCACCAAGGAGCAGGTTGCCTTTTTCACTGGCATGGCAGCTAGCTATGTTCCCTTGAAAGCCCTAGCGCCACAGCTAATGACCGTCTATCCCGTGGTACAGTTGAGCCCCAAGACGGCTATGGCGACAGCTGCAGTGGGCGCGTTGATTGGGTGGGGAACCAAGGTGATTAGTCTTTGTCTCGACATACTTTTCAAGAGGCTGACATGGTTGATTAGATGGCCAACGGCTGTACTTCTGGACACATGCTTTGTGGTCTTTCGCGGTTGAGCGGACGTTCTGCAACTGCGGTTGCCGTATTCTTCCCCACTGCCATGATCACTCACCACCTGGCCAACCCGACACTTTCCACTTCAGTATGCGCAAGCGATGTGCCGTGCTACACGCCTGTATACCCATCGACAGAAGAGGCCATATCTCTTCTGATGCTAGCAGGATCCATTGTCATGGCGGCACGAACGATACCTCATCTCGCGGCTCTAGCCACCAGCTCTGGTGACACCAAGGAGGAAGCTGGTGAACCGCCCAACGCCGCACGCAATACAACGCAGTTTTTCGCTGGTCTTTTGTTTGCCCTTGGCCTCCAGATATCACAGATGGCACAACCGGCAAAAGTTGCTGCCTTCCTATCTTTTCCAGTCTTGCAACACTGGGATCCATCTCTTGCCCTGGTGATGATATTTGCAGTGCTACCGAACCTGATTGAAAATCGGATCAAAGGGTTCATGAAGCCGCCGTCATTTGCCGAACGATTCGCGTTGCCGACGAAAACAGTCAAGGACATTGATAAGAGGTTTTTGATGGGGGCTGTCGCATTTGGTATTGGGTGGGGTCTAGCAGGCGTCTGCCCAGGGCCAGCTGTGATCAGGGCTTTCTACCAGCCCGTCTGGGGTCTCCTATGGATTGGCGGGTTCTGGCTTGGTGGCAAAGTCAATGTCTGATAAGCATTGCGTCTCGAGGCAATGGCTAACAAAGCCCTTATGTAATTTATAATAACGACCTAGATGAGCACGAATCTTTTATGCGAAACGCGTGTTGTGACCATGTAGTGACAGTCATGCAGAATATCGTGTGTATGCGCTTCAGCCCTATGCAAGTGGTTGTAGGGTACATGGTGTGGGTCTCAAAAAGTTCAGCCCCGCCACGGCATCCCACCTGCACCACCCTCACGCCTCGCCCACGGCACTTGCAGTCACATAAGCAGTGAGAAAAAGATGGAAGACGACCGGGCGGCGACCAATCTTGGTCCAGACGTAGATCAGGGTATAGCGGAGGAGTCACCTTCTGTACCAAAACAACCAAAACGACGCTTTGTGGGCAGAAAGACGACGGAAAAGACGAGCGGGCAGCCAGTGGATCCCAACGCCAACATCGAGGACTCGAGCGCGATACAAGGTGTGAGGAGCCCGCACGCACAAGGCGCTGACCGAAATCTTAGCAAAACATATCACAAATTAAAGTACACAAGCTGACGTTGTATTAGTGGCCCAGCCTCGACGTACTGCTCGTGCTCTAAACGCCATACCCGACGACATTGTCCATGACAAGGACATCAACGATGCCATTGCGCTATTGCCACCAAACTACAGCTTTGAAATCCACAAATGTATATACCGGATACGAACATCGGGGGCCAAGTCTATTGCCCTGCAGTTCCCCGAGGGACTGCTGCTATTTGCAACCACCATATCCGACATCCTTACGCGCTTTTGTCCGGGCACAAGCACGTTGATCATGGGCGATGTCACGTACGGGGCATGTTGTATAGACGACTACACAGCACGAGCGCTCGGATGCGACCTTTTGATACACTATGCGCATAGCTGCCTGATACCGGTCGCTGTGACCAAGATTGCAACGCTGTACATCTTCGTCTCCATCACCATCGATACCCAGCACCTGATCAACACGATTACCGATAACTTTGCCGTGGGCAAGACAATTGCACTAGTTGGAACCATTCAGTTCAACGCGACCATCCACGGTATAGTGCCCATACTGCGGAAGGAGGGATACAATCCGTTTGTGCCGCAGATTGCACCCTTGTCCAAGGGGGAAATTCTTGGATGCACATCGCCTTCTATGGCCATGAAGGCAGGGGAGCTCGACGGCAGAGGTAGAGAACAACAAGTGCCAGACCTAATACTGTACCTCGGCGACGGACGGTTCCACCTTGAAAGCGCTATGATTGCCAATCCCCAATTACCAGCATACCGATACGATCCATACTCACGACGGCTGACACACGAAGTCTATGAACATGAGTCTCTGTACAGTCTCCGACGCAGTGCCATCTTGACGGCTCGGAAAGCGCGCACTTGGGGCATCATTTTGGGTTCGCTAGGCCGGCAAGGCAACCCGCACACGTTGACGTTGATTGAAAACGAGCTGTCCAAGCAGAATATAAAATGCGTCAGTCTACTCATGTCTGAAATTTTCCCTGGAAGGCTGGCCATGATGGGCGACGTGGAGGCGTGGGTGCAGATTGCATGTCCTAGACTTAGTATCGATTGGGGGTATGCTTTTCCTAGGCCGTTGCTGAGCCCGTACGAGGCGCTCGTAGCACTAGGAGTAAGAGAAGCGCCGTGGCTCGACGAAGATGAAGACCGGCGCATATCGGGAGGGAAAGAGCGGAGAAACCTCTATCCCATGGACTTTTACGCTTCAGAGGGATTGGGACGCACGACAGTGGAACACGTCAAGGCAGCAGAGGTTGCAATCAAAGCATGAGTTTTTGACATGCAACCATTTGTCTAGGCAAAGCATTGGAAATCCAAAGAGCGGGATGAGGCTGATATGAACAAGACGTAGAGAAGAAAAAGAAGAAGAAAAATAGATCAAAGCATCGCCAAATGGGTATCGTTGAGTATTTCCGCTGTACAAGAAACCAAAACTGACCCGATGCCACTGCAAGCTGCTTAATCTATCTCCGGAATCAACTCGTCGTCGTCAATCAGATCCGGGTCGACTTTTGTTCCTAGGTCGGCGTCTTCCAAGAAGGAGCGCCCTCTGAGAGCTTCAGGCAAATAGTCTTGCTTCACCTTGCCGTCAAGATAGTGTGGGTTGTACTTGTAGTCCTCGCCGTATCCCAAGTCCTTCATCAACCGGGTTGGCGCATTGCGGATGTGATGAGGTATGGGGAGTGCAGCGACACCGGGTTCCTTAAGCGCGTCCCCTGCGTTGTTCATGGCACGATAGACACGTGTTGATTTTGGCGCAAGCGACAAGGCAGTCACAGCGTGGGCGAGGTTGATGCGGCACTCTGGCATGCCAATCTTCTCACAGGCAGAGTATGTAGCCGTCGCGAGGGACAGCATGGTGTTGTCCGCCAAACCTACGTCTTCTGAAGCAACGACGATGAGACGGCGAGCAATGTAGCGCGGGTCTTCGCCAGACTCGAGCATGCGGGCCAGGTAGTAGAGTGCGGCGTCGGCATCAGAGCCTCGAATGGACTTGTGCAGGGCGGATATGCTATCGTAGTGCTGGTCACCGGCGCGGTCGTATACGAGCGTCTTTGTGAGGCTCTGCTGGATCTTTTCCTTTGTCATGTCGGGCTGTTTGGCAAGGCTCATGGCGAGGTCGAGGAGATTGAGGGCAGTTCGGGCATCGCCGTCCGAGAAGCTAGCGAAGGATTGCAGCATGGGCGTGTCAAGCAAGGGCGAGGTGCATTGCTCGGCTGTCATTGCACGCTCGAGGATGTGGAGCAGATGGTCGTCTGCGAGGTCGTCAAGGGTAAAAGTGCGGCATCTGGACAGCAGGGCGGAGATGATTTTGAAGGACGGGTTCTCTGTCGTGGCGGCGATGAGGGTAATGGTGCCAGACTCGACAGGGCCGAGGAAGGCGTCCTGCTGGGTGCGGGAGAAGCGGTGCAGCTCGTCGCAGAAGACAATGGTCTTGCGGCCCGTCAGCTGCAGGTCGCTGAAAGCTTCGGCAAAGATGGAGCGGACTTGTTCGAGTTTTGTGCTTGTGCTGTTGATTTCGACAAAGCGGGCGCCCGACGAGGTTGCGATGAGGCGTGCGATGGTGGTCTTGCCTGTGCCGGGACGGCCCCAGAGGACCATGGAGGGCAGGCGGCCTTCGTCTACCATGGCACGCAACACGCCTCCTGGCGCGACGAGTTGCTGACCGTAGACATGATCGAGCGACGTGGGGCGCATACGCTCAGCCAGCGGCATGGCATCTTCGAGCGCCTTGAGCTTGCGGGCGCGCTTGGGAGCCGACGAGGGTGAATGGGCGTCGCCATCGGGATGCAGCCTGTCAACCGACTGTGTGAAGGAACGCTTGGTGCGTAGTGGCGGTGTAGGCGGCCGTTGGAGGCGCTGTGCTGCTGCAGCGGCAGTTGTTGGGGTTGATGCTGAGGTTGAGCATATTGTGGTTGTGGATGTCGTCGTCGTGGCGGGCGTGGATGTGGAGCGAATGGCGTGAGTGAAGAAGTTGTGGGCCTTTGCCGGGCCCTGGGTGGACGAGGCCGGGTCAATGATAAAGTCCTTGCAGCCGCTGTCAATGTGCTGGTTGATGCGGGCGTCGTGGACAGCGTGGGAGCAGATGGGGCAGTCGACCATGGTCGGATCGAGGCGGCCTGGCTCGTCACGGGTGCACGCGACGGGCAGTTTTTTGGGCGGACGCGACATGCTACGACATGCGATATGCGACATCGGCTGCACCTCGGCCCCGACGCTGTGTCTGCCCCTCGATGACGACGGTCCGCCCTGAGCACGCAATCCCACCACCGCCCACCACCGACGGCCATGCGAGCAGCAATTGCCAGACGTGCCCTCACCCAAAGCATCCCCAGGTCCACCACCATCACCGCCACCGTTACTCCCATCGCCCCCATCATCTCCTCCCCCTCCTCTCCGTCCCCGCGCAGAGCCATGTCGGCCACTCCCCGCCGCGCCGACCCCTTCAAGCCCGCCGCCAGGGTCGCGGGGCAGCGCCAGGATGTCTGGTCCATTGTCAATGAAGCTGCTGCCGCCTCGCCCGTCCAGCCCATTGTCAACATGGGCCAGGGCTTCTTTGGCTACAACCCTCCCGCCTTCGTCCTCGACGCCGCCAAAGCCGCTCTCGACCAGGTCGACTGCAACCAGTACTCGCCCACAAAGGGCCGCCCGCGCCTCAAAAAAGCCATTGCCCACGCATACTCGCCCTTCTTCGGCCGCGACCTCAACCCAGACACCGAAGTGACAATCACCACCGGCGCCAATGAGGGCATGCTCAGCGCCTTCATGGCCTTCCTCGAGCAAGGCGACGAGGTCATCGTCTTCGAGCCCTTCTTCGACCAGTACATCAGCAACATCGAAATGCCCGGCGGAAAAGTCGTCTACGTCCCCATGTGCCCACCCAAGGAGGGCGCCACAAAGACTACTTCGGCAGCAGAGTGGACCATTGACATGAACCAGCTCGAGGCTGCCATCACCCCGCGCACCCGCATGATAGTCCTCAACTCCCCCCACAATCCTATTGGCAAGGTCTTTTCCCGCGCAGAACTGCAAGCAATTGGGGACTTGTGCGTCAAGCACAACATCCTCATCCTCTCAGACGAGGTCTACGACCGCTTGTACTACGTCCCATTCACCCGCATCGCCACCCTTTCTCCCGAAATCGCCAAACTCACCCTTACCGTCGGATCTGGAGGCAAAAACTTCTACGCCACGGGCTGGAGAGTAGGCTGGCTCATTGGTCCCGAACATCTCATCAAGTACGTCAGTGCTGCCCATACTCGCATCTGCTACAGCAGTGTCTCCCCCTTGCAAGAGGCTACGGCTGTTGGCTTCGAGCAGGCCGATGCCCACAACTTCTGGGACGACTCCAAGAAGGAGATGAAGGCCAAGATGGACAAGTTCACAGCCGTCTTTGACGAACTCCGCCTGCCCTACTCAGACCCCGAGGGCGGTTACTTTGTCCTTGTCAACATGTCAAAGGTCAAATTACCCCAAGACTATCAATTCCCACCACACGTCGCAGAGCGTCCCAGGGACTTTCAGCTCAGCTGGTTCCTCATCAAGGAGGTGGGTGTCGCTGCCATCCCCCCGACCGAATTCTTCACTCCAGAAAATGCCTACATTGTAGAAGACTGGTTGCGTTTCGCAGTCTGCAAAAACGACGACGTTCTCGAGAGTGCCATGGATCGTCTAAGGAGCCTCAAACAATACATTCACGAATGAGCAAATGCATCAGAATACCACAAACAACTCCTGCCATGGCGTCACGGTAAATCATAAATGCATTCGCCTAGTGTTGTTCCATGTACTACTCATGACTTCGTAAACCTTTCCTCGTACTCTGAAATGTCCCTCAATCATCATCCGTATACGTCTCCCTGTCCTGGAAAACCAAAAATTCGCCGCCTTGTTGACCCATCACTTGTTCCCACACGCTCTTGACATTGTCAAGGATCCCATCATCGAAAGCAAGCTCCACGGGCGGCGGCGGGAAGCGAATTATCTTTTCTGGTCCACAAGGGAGAGCATCGGATCCCGACGACGGCTGCTGTTGGTACTTGACTGACCAAAGTACCCTTGGTGCCGGTGTGGTGTTCATGGCAGAGAGAAGTAAATCAACCGCCTGTTCGAGCAAAGCAAAGCCCTTTGAGCCCCTCAAAGATACTAGAGCATAGAGTACACCTAGTTCACAGTCAGCCATGTAATAACCATGATGATCCGTACATTGATTTGATAGATAGAGTGCCGTTGTGTCAGTTTGTCAGAGGTATTGTCTTCAGTGGTATTCAGACAATGTAGATAAGATTTGAAAGTTGTTCATCATAGAAGCAAATAGAGAGAGAAAAAGGGGAGGAGGAAATACTTACACTGGCCAGTAGGGCATTCGCCGGTGTCGCTCGAATGTACATAGATATGAACGGGTGGAAGCTCTTCAGCTTCCGAACCCACCGTCAATGAGCCAGACGGAAAGACAACCACAGCCGTCGCCGGTGTTGGTGCCTCTTCCGCAATCGGAGGAAACAGGCTCAGCAATGAAGACGAGACAATGCTGATCGATCTGCAGCACGTAGCCTCGGCACTGGTCGAGGAGCTTCCTCCTACGACCCACTGTGCAACAATCTCTTCGCCATCTTTCAGACGAAGTCTTGTGCTCTTGTCACTAACCTCCGTAGCACCCCTAGTTGCTGGAGCAACGCCTTTTCCAAGCACGTAGACTCCACCTCCAACCGCGCACGCTCGACAGGACACCTGGCTGATTTCGGACATACCTCCCCATTTCGGGACAACAGCCCCGAAGCCAGGTCCAAACACACCGATTGACCGCAGGTGCCTCGCAATTCGCGGCAGGGCAGTCTCCGTCGTCGTCTGGGATGAGGTCGTCGTTGATAGCGTGAGAGCCATCAATGGCGCCTGCAAATTTGCCGGAATCTTGAATTGGTCCCTAAGAAACACCGCAAACGGCTGCTGTCCAAACTCTTCCCAGACATCAGTTTGCTCTTCGTAATCACCAATAAAACGCAAGAATTTCATCAATGCGCGCTTCGCCTTGAAGTCCAATTGGTGATCCTGGAAGACATCTTCGCGACCGTTTGGCACCTTCAGCAGTCTTCCATGCGAAGGCACGGTTTCTGGAGCTACAGAGCATTCGCTCTGTGCGTCTCTGGAGTACACCCACCAGCTGCCAACAGCGAGAAACTCAAGCTGACGATAGACCCGTGACGAGACGAGGTTTCCTAGAAGAGAGGAGCGAGCATACACTATCTGGGGACTCAAAGACAAGTTGTATGCTCTTGAAACCGATAGCCTCGGAGCTGAGTTGTCCGGGCTAGGTTCGGGCTTGGTTACTGTGACATCGGAGAAGGGAGCATCTGTGGGTGCTTTGGAGAGTTAGCGACAGCGTACTTGATTAATGGCTTCCATCCTTACCTTGCTTCAATCGCTGCGCCCATTCCTCAGCTTCCTGTAAGCTAAAGGCAGCTTCGGCACCGCCGTAAAAGTCATCTTCATCGACATGGAGAATCTTCTTGTCCGAGCGCGACAAAGCTCTTCAAGTGCTGCGTCAGTCAGATGGCAACCCCATTAGTGCTACGAGACAAGGCACGTACAGGGCAAGGAGAGACTGCTGTAGGCCGGTGCCTACAATAAGCACGTCCCATTCGGTCTTGTCGAGAGTTTCCATGTCAGAGGTGCAGGGAAAGATGAGGGCTTGCAAGGAATTGTTAGCGCTACATTAGCGCGCATGACTAAGCGACGCGTGCGCACAAAATCTGCACACAGCTGCCTATGGACCTTCCTTCACCAACGCGCACGCCGAGGGCATCTCAGCTTCATGTATGGCCTGTCCGCAAGGCACCCAGATCTTCACTGACCTGGAAATATGCGCGTGAGATCAACCTGTCGTCCGGTATCTACTGCTTTGGATTTTACCTGAATTAGTGGCTCGAATGTGGCGATACATCCAACCGTCAATGACCTCTGCAGAGGCTTTGGTCTAACAAGGTGTTAAATGTACTGCCGCTCGCGTGTACTGTCTACTTTCCATCGGCTTTGTCTTCATGCACCAAGGCAACATGCTGCCCACGATGAAAAGATCAACCCCTCGCCTCGCCATCCTTTTCGTGGGCATTTAAAGTTTCTTCCCTATCCCATACTTTGTGTCCAGCCACCCACGTCTGGAGCACCTCGCCTTGGTCACTCAACACGGTCAGATCAGCTCTTCTGCCTTCTTTCAGTATGCCTCTTCCACCTTTTTCATCTATGCCCATAAAGGCCGCCACATTCTCAGTGACCGTGCCTACCGCTTCGGCAATGCCACACCCAGACCAATCCATCAGGTTTCTCATACTCTGCTGAAGTGGGATACACCCCCCAATCAGGGTGTCGGTGCCGGCTATCGTGGCCCGTGTGCCACTCTTGACCTGTTCAAAGGGGATCTGTGAGTGGCCAGGGTAGGTCCCATCCTTCAGAGAAGCAAGCTCAATACTGTCAGTAATGACAATCGAGCGCTTGGGGCTCGAACGGTGAAGTAGAGATACTGTGTTAGGATGGAGATGCTCTCCATCTGCGATGATGGTGTACCACGGAGGTGCAATCGTTGCTGTCTCTGGCAGGGAGACTAACCCGGCAAGACCTGGGACTCTGGCTGCCCAGCTTGGCATAGCATTCAGCGTATGAGTCAGTCCGCTCGCCCCTGCACTGAGTCCGGCTAGGCCTTGTTCGTAAGTCGCAGTAGAATGGCCCATGGCGACTCTGATACCCTGGGATGTCAGTGACTTGATGAGGGCTGCGGAATCGGGTAACTCTGGGGCGATTGTGACGAGTCTGATAGCAGACTGAAGACTTGCAGACCCGTAGACAGTGGCTGGGGAGACGGCACAGGGGTGAAACAGAGAGCTATTGTGTGCTCCTTTCTTGGAAGGGTGTAGATAGGGTCCTTCTGTATGTGCGCCTAGAAGCGAAGCTGATGAAGCTATGTCCCGCGGGGTGAGCGCTGGGAGAATCTACCAATATGTAAGTCAGTTTGTCGGTGTGTAATCCAGACATGGACAGGAGACATGCCTTTTGAAACTCGTCAGCGTGTATGGTAGGTAGAGTTGCCCAGAATCCAGTCACACCCTGTGTTGCATAGTACCTTGCCAGATGGTCAATCTTGTTTTCATAGCTTGTTTTATCTTCAAAATGCGTGAAGTGGAAGCCATTGGCACCATTGGTGTGCAACTCAAGAAAGCCTGGGGCGATTATAGCATCTTCCAAGTCGATTGCCTCGCCGCCAATGTAGCCTTCTCTTTTGAGGATGAGCCCCGTCTCGTCAGAAATGACAAGGTGGTCATCGACGAGCTCGCCATTGAGAATATAGCGGCAATTAGTGAAGAGGGTGAACCAGCCCGACATATCCGAGTGCGTGCCCAATGTAGCGTGTCAGCACACACGTAGACTAGTATCGCAGAAATTCGGTGCCGGTGGCTCGTTTGTCTAAATCAAACAATGGTACGCACAGTAGTCAGAGAGTCGAGTCAAGTCGAGCCATGCCGGGGTGGGGGAGGGGTGGCCGGGGGTGGCCGGCCCCGCGGAGCGCTGATTGGCCAAATAATGCGATGCGCGTCGACGTCATCGGAGCAAGGTAGCGCGAAGGTAGTACGAGGATCATGATGCACCGACGACAATGCCCGCATTCTTCCATCTAGTTTGTATGTACTGTACATACTACCCATACATATGCATACGCCGACAGGTGTGCATAGGGCACAATCAAGTGCCAGCAATACAGCCACAGTGGATATGCTGCCCGCTTCTGGTTGCGCCACAAGCAGGAGCCAAGACTACACAATGGGCGCGTTGTGTGCTTCTGGCAACCGGGCTGCACCTTCTTCAGGAGCAAGTGGTGCCTGCCTACTACGTCATGAACTCGGCTTCCACCCTTCCGCCCCGCGCGCACCTGGTCTCTGATCTTATGATTCCCTGCTTTCGTTCCTTCAGCCGTACATCGCCGCTAGCCTCATGCTCGACTTCTGCTCGATATATGCCCATTGACCCTTGCAACCCTCACGCATGTCCCTCTTTTAGACCTGGGCCGTCACTCATAGGGACTCCCACTTGACAATGGAGTCACAGTATCAGCAACAGCAGCAGCAGCATGCCCCGGGTGGCCACTACTCGGGGCACAACCCCATCCCCACCGTCAAGCAATTCGTCGAAAATTTAGATCGGGACAAGAGAGTCCGCGACAAAAGAATTGACGAGGAGGCTGCTCAGAAGCAGGGGCCGCCCACAACAGAGAGTAAATTGCCAGAGAAACAGCTCAAGGGCACCGAGAAGCGAGTCACAGATCCAACTACGGGCAGAGAAGTTGTCATCGCCGATGTCAGCAAGGACATGATCAACGAGGTCGAAAACCCCCATATCGTCATCCCCAATGCCAACCTGAACAAGGAAACGGTAGGCAACAAACACACCTTACATTCCTTCACTTCTCGGCTGACAATATTTAGCCCATCAAGACGGATCCCTCGCAATCGCTCCAGGACTACAAGCATAATCAGGATGTCACTGCACCCCCAGACCCAGTTGCCCAAGGTACCACAACCGACGTGCCCATCCACGGCGAAAAGACAAACGTCCTCTTTCACCCTACACCCTCGGTCACCTATGAGCCCATGTTCAAGGCCCTCGAGGCCCGCGCCAATGTCCTCTGCGCAGGAATACTCGTAGGAACCGTTGTTGTCGGCAAGATCTTTGGTGGCGCACTCAAGGGTCTTGTTCCTCTTGCCATGTGCTTAGCATCAGCTGTCTATCTTTGGATGAAGGAAGTCATCCGGAGTGGAAGAGAGGTGGAGTGGGACAGCGAGCAAGTCCGCGGCCAAATGGTAAACCCTTTTGGAAATGATTTCTGCTCAACATTTACTAATCACCGACCATCTAGGCCTCGCTGAACTTGCTTCCAGAGTCAGTCGAATGGATGAATACGTTTCTCAGTATCGCCTGGGGTCTTATTAACCCTGAAATGTTTTCGGGTGTTGCCGACATGCTGGAAGATGTCATGCAGGCTTCAGTTCCTGGAGTCATTGAAAATGTTCGTGTCGCTGAAATTAACCAAGGCAGCAATCCACTACGCATCCTGAGCTTGCGAGCACTGCCAGACTCACACATGGGCGACATGAAAGCATCTATCCACGAAGAGAACAAAAGAAAGAAAGATCCTCAAGAGGCAGCAGCAGACGAAGAGGGCGGTGATTACTATAACCTAGAGGTCTCCTTTGCATATCACGCCAGTCCCAGCGGCAAGCGAGTTTCTGATAGGGCCCGCAACATGCATATGCAGCTGGTATTTTACTTGGGTATCAAGGGCCTCTTTGGTGTTCCTCTGCCTATATTTGTCGAGTTGCAGGGCCTTGTTGGCACAGTGCGCTTACGCTTAAACATGACACCCGAGCCCCCCTTCCTCAAAACCCTGACTTTCACGTTGATGGGAACACCGCAAGTGACGGCAGGCTGCATCCCCATGATAGAAAAGGGAGTCAACATTCTGAACCTTCCGTTGATTAGCAACTTCGTCAACTATGCTATCAAAGCGGCAGCAAGCAGTATGTTCATTTTCACACCACATGGCCCATATGAAGATGCTAACAAAGGCAGTGTATGTTGCCCCCAAGTCTATGTCTATTGATATGCGTGCCATTCTTCAAGGGGACTCGGTCCAGAAGGACACTGAAGCACTTGGTGTTCTGTGGATTCGCATTCATCGTGCTGTCGGTCTGAGCAAGCAAGACCGACGCGGATCAAAGCATGGCGGCAGCGATCCATATATCACAATTGCCTTCTCCAAGTATGGAAAGCCGATGTACTGCACCCGGGTCATCACCGACGATCTCAACCCCATATGGGAGGAAACGGCGGCCATTCTTGTTGGCCCTGAACTGATCAAGGCGAACGAAAACTTAAGTGTTGAGCTCTGGGATTCCGACCGACACACTGCCGACGATATTGTTGGAAAAGTGGAGATATCCATGCAGAAAATGATCCAACATCCTGGTAAAATGTACCCGCAAACCTCCAAGTTGGCCGGTATGGAATCTGGCAGCGACATGCCGGGAGAGTTGCACTGGGAAATTGGTTATTTCAGCAAGCCTAAGTTTAGGAAAGAGTTACGGACTGATGGTAAGAATAAAGCTCTTCCCGATGAGCTGAAGAACGACCCTGCGCTACAGGACGATAAGGGCGTGATCAACTCCGAAACTGATGACGCTGTTATGCACACTCCGCCTGATCCGCTGTGGCCCAGTGGTATTTGCAGCGTAGTCGTACAGCAGATCGTCAACCTCGAACTAGAGAATGTAAAGGGAAGTTCCAATCCCAAAGGCCGTGAGTATGAGCCTGCGAAGCCTTATGGAGAGGGCAAGAAGGAGACTGGCGAAGACCTTCCTAGCAGCTACTGTACGATTCTTTTCAATGATGAGCTGGTATATCGGACACGTACAAAAGCAGTCACATCTCAGCCAATCTTCAACGCGGGAACCGAACGGTTTGTGCGTGACTGGCGATCAGCTATCATCACGGTCACTGTGAGAGACCAGCGGCACAGAGAACATGATCCTATCCTTGGCGTAGTCCCATTGAAGTTATCAGGTACGTACCTTTCTAATCCACAAAGCGCTGAGAGGCTGTCTCCAGGTTTACTTACACCATTCCAGATATCCTTGAGACATCGTCCCAAGTCACACGGTGGTATCCCCTTGATGGAGGCATCGGATTTGGTCGCATACGTATCGCACTTCTATTTCGCAGCATTGAGACACGCCTGCCTCCTCAAATGCTTGGCTGGGATGTCGGTACTTTTGAGTTCCGATCTCAACGTATACTGGCTGTAGGCTATACCCATCCTCCGAAACTTCGCATGCGAACTGGTGGCAGTACTGGCAAGATCAACCGCACTGCTGCCCACAGGCTTGAGGAGGGCGATGGATATTATTGGGATCTCGAAGAGGAGAATAAGAAACACGCTGTTCGCCTGCCTGTCAAGCATCGGTACAGGTCACCCGTTGTCTTTGAGTTCCACATCGCCAATCATCGCAAGCCAGATGCCTACGCAGTAATCTGGCTTCAACATTTCATCGACAACGAGGATGTCGATATTAACATCCCAATCTGGAAGACATCAGCTCCCGCTAGGCTCACACAAAACTACATCACCGAAGAAAACTGCAACAAAGAACCGGGCCTTGAGGATCTTCAAGAGGTTGGGCGTCTGCAGTTTCGCGGTCGCTTCAAAGCAGGAATGGACAAGTCTCACGCTGCTTTTGTGACGGATAATGACACCCGCGAAACATATGAGACCTGGGAAGCATGTGTCACAGAAGGCGTGCGAAACCACATTGTCGAAAAGGAGCTGCCAGACCGTGTGAGGGAACTACATGAGCAATCATTGACGTCGGGTCGTGATATTCTCAAGAATGCGAGCGAGGAGGAAAAGCGCAAGTGGCTCGCAAAGGATGGGCAGGACTGGTCAGGCGCTTTCGGCGACAATCCTAAGGCATACATGAATACCAGACAGCAGAAGAGACGTGAGCCTGGCGTTGAGGAGCCACTACATGATCGTCACCATCCATCAGATAACGAAGCAAATGACGATTCCGACGATGACTATGGTGAGGAATCATCTTCGTCGGACATCGGTGTACAAGATGCTGATGCTGTTGGCAATACAACGGGGTTCAACGGTGGCAAAGGCGGTAAACCAGATGGAAGACTGAGGTCAACGAAGACAGATTTGTCGCCAACAGATGATCATCTACCCCGCCAGTCACAGTCAACAGCCCGAACGAGCAGTACTGTCGAGACGGACGACACAACATCGAGTAATGATCACAACAAACAAAACAAACGGGCAGAAGAGCGAAAGCATCGGGGACTGATGCAATGGAAGCCAGCACGTAATGCAAAGTTTGCAAAGGACGAAGCTAAAATTGGACTGGCCAAACTCAAAAAGAAGGTCACTGGGGGCCTGGACGGAAGACAACCCGGTGTTGAGACTGGTAAGTTTTTATGATGAGCTTTCATGTCACGCTTTGTTACTAACATGGTCAAGAAACTGGGTAGAGCACAATGTCTTGTGAAGCTACGACGAAGAGTGTGGCAAGTGAACCCTAACCCCTTCAGTTGGTTGCTTTATCCATCGCGTGAATATATTCCCAGTGAGGGAAGGGGCGTATGGATCTACTGGGAAATAGTGCAACGGATTATGTACATCCTGCAGGCTAGCAAGGAGTTTGCGGGACGATTCATGTAGTATTGGTAATATTGAACAATCATCTCGTCATTTCATGTGGGCTCTGCATTAGAGATGTGTTCGGACATCTCAGGCCATATATGTAATTTGAAAAGATCGGAATCGACTAAGGTAGTGGTAACCTAGAATCTTCTACCAGATTGGTCGCAAGTGCGAGGTTCTTGGTGTGGTGGGCTTCATTTATCGCACTGTTACCGTGAATGGGGCAGGTCACAACGACTGTCCCGGTCCGCCCTGCTATATTTGGGTGGGACGCCTTCAAGCTCATGTGTGCGGGGCTAGGATAACTAAGCGTCCAAAGAAGTGCATGAAGCACCATGGATAGTAGTAATGGGAGTCTGTCTGTCCAACACGTGTGCGTTCCTTGACCAACAGAGTACTTTCACTCGTCTGCCTTGCTAGCTTGATGTTGGCCTCAAGAAGAAGCAACAGACCGCTATCTCACACTAGTGTAGAGTTTGCGACTGACATTTTATCACCTTGATTTTGGCCCTTATTCCAAGAGAGTGGTCGTTTTCAAGGCAACGTCGGCCATTCTCGCCTCACCAGCTACGCGCCGGCGCTTGTTGCGGCACGGGAGTTTCTAACTCCTAAGCCACAACCACTAACCATTCAGATGTCGGAAACTGCTTTGGCTGGGCAGACGGCGTTGATCAACTTAATCGGGACCAGGCTTTGCTGTGCCGCAAAAGATGGGCGCTTAGAGAAGCATGACGGGGAATGGACTTGCGCCGTGCAAGCCGGCTTCATTCTGCGTGCCTTGGGTCATTTGGAAGTGAGACATACAAGGTTTTCCTTCATCTGTCAATTTGTCCAATGTCGGCCGCTGTGGATAGTGCTGATGATTTGGAGCTTAGGTGTGGGACGGGTTGCACACATGCCTGCGAACGAAGTACTTCCAGGTCACGTTGAGGTCGCATCAGAGAGACCGATGAATAGACGCCTGGGGTGGTTGCGATTGCTCTCGCGTGTCCAAGGCATGATGGGATCCTGGAAGTCGCCATCACTGGGTCGCTGCACAACCCGGTAATTAGCTTGGCGATGCATTGTCGGGGAGTTACTACGGCTTAAACGATGGAGATGGTAGTTGTTATAGCCCCCCGAGCGACAGAGATATTCAAATTCGTCGTGATAGGGTGAAATTGCCGTGTTGGCTGCGAAGGAATTACATCGAAAGGTCTGGCTAACCTGCATATGCATGCCCAAGTGTTGGGAGCAAGTGATTGATGTCCTGCACCTGCATGCATTCAAGTTTGATCACATGCTCTTTATACACTGAATGAGCTTAGCCCGCCCATCTGGCTGCCCGACAATGTGCGGTACGGAACAGCACTTTGCTTGGGTTCGCGACACATGTCGAGAAGTGCTTGAAGCCTTTTGGTCGGTACTTAATGGTCTCGCATTCAAGCTCTCAAGTTGATCTCCAAATAACACTGTGGCGAATCTGGATATGACTGCAAGTGCTATCAACTGAACTGCCGACGGCACGGTCGGATGAGGTGTTTGGGCTGTATGTGTCTGTGTGTGGAAGGCTCAGTGCGGTCGCAGAAAGGGCTTACGGCTAGGAAGGGCGAGCAAGGTTCTCACCTCATTCTATCCAGCTAGGGCCAGATACCAGATGATCCAACTCTAATTGCGCCCCTTTACCTTTGAGCACATGCTCTTGCTGCGAGTCCAACATCTAATATAGCCTGAATAGATGACGTTGGGTGTTGGATCAATTGTCCAAAATGACCAAGCTGGCGATTGGAGGATTTGAATATGAAGGGGAAAGGGTGTTAAACGACTGTTCTGCGATGAGAACATTTGTTTCAGGGCACAAGTTCTTAGAGAAAGAACGGATTTTCCAGAAAATCTGCCCAAGCCAAGCTCCCACCCATTTTGTGTGCTTATCCGATTGTGAGTGGCATCTGTTCAGGAGTAGGCCAAGGAATTTTTTGGATGACCCATCCTATAGGAACGACATAAAGAGATACTGGAATCCCCGGTTACGGGTCACTTTCTAGCCAAAGTAGTGGGGTTGCTACAACAAGAGCCCACTACTCTTTGCTTTCATCTTTCATGCACCTTGCCGCCCCCCTAGATCGTAGGTGGGGGGGGGGGGGGGGTTTCAGCTTCCCAGTGACTCTTACCCAGCACCAACATCGTGCCATTATAGACCATTTTCCTAAAAGGTTCGGAGGAACTACTAGGAAGATAGTGTTGAACTGTGCCAGTGGCCTCCCTGCGCTCCGTTTGGGATGTGGAACGTGGCGAGTCCTTCCGGAGTACCTTACATGCTGACTGCTATTCGTTACAAGCGTGTAGAACCAATTCATATATGACAAGTGACATATATGTAGTGATCGGGATGGTGCTTGACACGTAGCTACGCAAGTATGCAGAGTTGAGAGAGGTGCATCGTATTATACCTAGCATCTCCTCTCAACACCATTGTGCCATTATTTCGCTCAACAATTAATCGGTTCAATCAAAGCTTTCGTCTGGAGTCCAGATTTAACAAACACACGTTGAGAGTCGCGGTGTACCAGGGTGGTTTTTACTAAGCTTTCAAGTCAGAAGTATTGTGGACCTCAGTCATCTCGTGAAATTTATGGGTTGGGGAACATTCCACTCGAGTGATAACAGTTTGCCACAAGGTGTAAACTACAGACTCTTCCTATAGGCTCATTCATCTGAGAACTTGCCTTTTCATGTGTTGCCAAGTTCTGATTGGAGCAGACACTGATCGATCTGTCAATTTCAACCAAACTTAGGAGGGCAAGATGACTGCCTTCAGTTGGTCATTACCCCGCGTCATCATCGTCGATCACTAACACCTGACTAGTTTGCGGCTATGGCGTTTACTGATACGAGTCCCAGCTGCAAGCCAACTCCTCGCTACCGCTGATAATGACCGTGCCATCTGCAGTTTCCAAGGGCAGACAACTGCATACACGTTCAGCCATGTAGAGTTGGTGGAGCAATGTAAGGTTCCGTCCGCTTATCGTATCTTACAACGTGGGCAGGTGAGCCGCGGGACAAAAGCAGCCATACTCTTCGTTGGATGAGATCGCTATGTTGACGTCAGTTGCCCCTGCAGCAAATAAACTCTCCAGTCTACGAATGCAGGGCGCAAAATCATTACAGTATGCACCCATGACTCTGTGAGATTTTGGCTCTGATCCGTAATAATCAGCGCCGGCACTAGTCAGTTGTAGGGGGGGAAGCAGATATGCAAAATCATGTTTCTATTACTATGGCTGCTTCAACTAAGATTATTTTAGTCCAGTTCGGACACGGTTACCAAGCATAAATGTTATACCTCCACAAACACCAAATATGGGTGTCAATATATAACCCAAAAAACAGCAGCACAGTTGCTCGCCCGTACCAAACAAGGCCTGGAGGGTTTGGAATAACGGTACCAAATGAAACGGGGTTCAACGTTGGCGGGGCGCGCACTAGTTCGGCTGTTAGCACAATGCTGAAGGGTGTGGACTGATAGACTGACCAAGCAATGAGCGCATAGCTGGTCATTTTGATCAATGAAGTTGTAGTTCTTAGGGTGGCCTTCCTGTTGCCAGTTTCGGCAAGGATGTCTGTAATAGCCACCGCCCGTTGCGCCAGTAGGCCTCCCACCAGAAGATGATGATTGTTGCTGATTCTGAGATGAAGACATGATGGTAGTTTTGGAAAAGACTTGGATGAATGGGTGAAGATAATTGTCGAAATCAGCTTGATCTAGGTGATACTCCTGTAGGTATTGAAAGACGATCGCTGTCAATTTTGTTCTTCATATCAGAGACACTATTCATCACTTTATAGTCGCACTAGATGCCTTTCTCCCTCAAGTGTTGCCATGCGGTTTCCGCGCCTCAATCAAAGATCACTAGACAGAAAGACGGTGGCTAGGCAAATTCCGCCCCTACCGGGGAGCAGTCACATTGCATTGTTGTTCCGGTCCAGGAGTTGGCCGTCAGGCAGTCTTGTGAGGAGATGGAGACGCCACACGGCACAACGAACGCCTCACGACACCGGGGCATCGGAGAGGAAATCCACAACCGTGCCTCCGCCACACTAGCATGCGCATCTTCAGAGCCACTCTGAGAACAGATGCTGTCATTTCGAAGCTGTCGTCGTGCGATTCTCCATCCACTTTCGGTTCTCACTCGGTTCTTCTGCCTGAGTACATAGGCCGATTTTCTTCCCGCGAGCGCCGCACCAACCGATTACACCTTCGTAGCATCAACGAACAGCCTGAGGCATCAAGCATCGGCTTCTCCGTCAGAGCCTAAAATCACAGCATTCAGCTCCAACGTGCCGCTCGTTGTCTCACTCTTGGGCCACACATATGGCCTTCAAACGGCGCAACAGTAGTCGCTATCGAATGCTGGTAACCAACACGACGCTAGGCAAGAGGGAGCGGGTTCTCTTCCACCTAGCCAAATACCTTCTGTCAACGGCTGATCAGTATCATTCCACTACACACCGCCCCCATTTGTGCCTTGTGCCAGCGCAAATATGCCGCGTACTCGATTCATGATTATGACTTCATTTACGGGCCTGGGTGTCTTCACATCGTTGTGCCGGTAACGCCGCAGATGGCCTGCGCTCCTCAGGACGACGGACGACACACGGTCATCCCAGGATGAGCTGTGGGTGTTCAAATTATCAAATCAGTTGGTTTTTGTCATTTCCAGAACTTGTTTTCCAAAGAGCCATGTGCGCAAACTTTGGATCCTTAACCAGGCATGGGAAGGACAAATCAGACGATGTTGACTCATGGCTCGGGTGCGTTCCGATTCTCAAAACTTAGGTGGCACATGGT